CCCTCTCTCCCACTGTGCAGGCTTAACCATCTCTCAATTTCACAACCGCAGGCAAAGAGCTTGAAAAGAAATACAAAGAACAGGGAAGGGGATAGCGACCCTCAACAGGCCCGTCCACTCTGATGCCCTTGCTCTCTGGGAAGCCTTCTCTGGCTGCTCCGTTTAAAATTTCAACCCTTTCACCCTGACCGGTCTTCCCAGTACCCATTATCCTGCTCCATGGCACTTATTACCTGCTAACCTACTAGAGGACTTACTTAGCAGGTTGATTCTTCTTGATGCCTCCTCTTGCTGAAACTGCAGACTCCTAAAGTCAAGGATATTTATCTGTTTCTTCACTGTTGAGTCCCCGGTGCCTGGGCTAGTGTTTGGCACATAGTAGTTGCTTAGTGAATTATGTGTTTGGTGAATGAATGAATCAGGCCTGGGTGATTCGTTACAAAGCAAGACGGCCCTCACTGCTTCACTGTGGGACTATATGCTGGAGCCAAGAAGAGCAGCCCCTGCCTGGCCCTGCTTTCCTAGGTGACTCCGACCTCAGGTAGGCCCACCTCTGGACCCACCTCCTCAGCCCTTGCAGACATCTGTATCCTGGTTCACAGCTAGGACTGGAGTGCCACTGGCTCATGAGGGCGACAGGCTGTGATGTCCCCAGGCACCTGGAAGCTGACCCACTGTCAACAGGAGTCAGTAAAGCAAAGAACGCCGTTGAGAGATACAGCTTTGGCCCAGACACAACTGAAAGTGTATCTCAAAAGCAGAAGCATGTGCTTAAGGCCTCTGGCTCTCAGGCAGGGGAGAGGTGGTGTGTTGGATGGCAGGGATGCTGAAATTTACTGAGAAATCTGCCACTTGCTCTGGGGCCTATCAAAGAAGAGCCTTGCCTTGTGGTGGGAACAGCTGCTTCTCCCCCCCCGTAGTGGGTTGCTCCAGGGCATCTGAGGACAGCCCCGGCTCTGCTACCTCATCTCCTCATTTGTCTGCCTCGCTGACATTTCCTCTCACTTCCCTCCCATCAGTTTGGCAGGTTTTTATCACACTGGTTTCAGTGTGTATAGACATTCCCTTGGGAGTACTGCAGTTGTAGTAAATATATACCATATACATACACACAGACATGTACAAAGCAAGGAGACTGATGGAGACACACAGACAGAGACAGACACAGGGGAAGGTGTGTGTGTGTCCATATATGTGCACGCGCACGCACACACACACACACACACACACACACACACATACACCCCCTAGGGAGATACCCAGAGTCATGCAGAAGAAAAGCAAAAAGACAGAAACATAATATGGCACCGCAAGAGACAGGCAGACCCTGACAAAATGACACTGATACCTAGCAGGGCGCACTCAGCCACTCCAAGAAAAAGCGTACTACATAGAAAGGAGCCCTTGCTGGACAAGAAATAGAGAGGAACTCACATATCCAAAACAACAGAAACAGTATCCCGGCTATAGAATTATTCAGCCTGCAAATAATTGTAGTAATAGCTCCCATTGCTTTTATCACTCAGGAAATTCCAAGGACTGTGGTAGCTCTGTGCCAGAAATAGGGATGAAGACTGAATATATAGTTCTTATTATAAATCACAATATCACAATTAGGTATATTACATATGACTATCACATCAGATGTATGATATTGTTATTTAAGAGCTAGTTAAAGTAGGCTATTTAAGTTAACCAGCAAGTTTATATAAATGAAAACACAAAGCAAAAAATAGTTCAGAATAGGGCAAAAGTCATGGCAGTGATAAACAGATGACTGAAGCCTGGGGGAATGCTTTCTTTATCTAAAGTATAGTCTTTTAATCATATAGGTTCAAACTTGGGAATTAAGATAAGCAATAAATCACTCATATCAGTTCTTCTCTTTTCTAATTCTGGTTGTGTGAAGACACTGGGAATTCATTCATTCACTCATTCATTCATCTGTACATTCATCAAATAACTATCACGGGCCTATAAGGTGAGATTTAGGCAGACGAAGAAGACACAGAACTGTCGTCCAGCTGCTGTCAGTCTGCTAGGAGAGAAAGACAAGAAAGTCATCACAGCTCAGTCTGAGAAGAGCTACCGTAGAGGTGTAAACCATGGGTCAGGAGTAGCTCACTGAATATGTGACAGCAGAGCTAAGTTTTAAGGGAAAAGAAAAAATTAGATGATAAAGTGAAGCACCTTTCAGGCAGAGCTGACATCAGGGTTGAGCACATACCCTCAGCCTGCAGTCCCAGCCCGCAAAGTGTTCTGATCCATCATGGCTGAGACTCACCCACCGGCCGACAGAGGCTGGTAGGCGTTAGTCCTGAAGCCCCGGGGCCTGGTATATCTCCAGATAGATTTACCAGGCTGCTCCTGCCCAGTCAGAACTGCAGGCTGTGGGTTCTTGATTTGCTCTCCACTGGGCCTGGATCCCTGCTGAGGAGCCTGCCCGGCCTTGACCTGGACTCCTGTGCTCCACCCCCGATAGATCACCCAGAATCTTGATGCCACCACCTGCCAGACTCCACACACAGCCAGTTCCAGACGCTCCTGGTGCAACGTCATAAGAATAAGAGCCTCCGCTTATCAAGCCCTTACGCTGTGCCAGGCTTGCATCATGCTGATTACATGCATTATGTCATTAGATCCTTGGAACCACACCAGTGAATTTTATCATTACATCCATGTTCCAGTTGAGGACAACGGATCTTAAAGAGGTTAGGAGCTTACCTGAGATCACACTTAGTAAAATGGTAGGACCAAGGTTCATGCTCAGATATCCTGACACCAAGGTCAGTCTGATTACCCATCTTGCTATATTACCCTCCCCACTGAGAATCTGCAACCCCAGTGGACGCCAGTGTTGGCCCAGATGTCAGGGTCTTGGGACTGTGATTCGGGTGGCAGGCCTATGAGGAGGGCCCCATAGCGGATAACGGCCCTAACTCTATCCACTCCTGCCCTCCTCTCCTTCCCAGCGTGCCCATAATCCAGAGCTCCCAGCATGCCTCGCCGTCAAGCCTGAATGGGTACTGACCACTGACCAATGCTCTTAGGGAAGTGGGACAGGTGAAATCAAGAACCTCAGAAGCCCGGGACTTCCCTAGTGACCCAGGGGTAAAGAATCCGTCTTCCAGTGCAGGGGACGGGGGTTCCGTCCTTGGTCGGGAGAACTAAGATCCCACATGCCGCGGGGCAACTAAACCAGCGCGCCACAACTACTGAGCCTGTGCACCTCAACGAGAGAGCCCGCATGCTGCAAACTACAGAGCCCAAGGGCTCTGGACCCCGTGGGCCACAGCTACAGAGCCGATGTGCCCTGGAGGCTGTGCGCCACAACTAGAGAGAGAAAACTTGCACGCCACAACTAGAGAGAAGCCTGCAACCGCAACGAAGAGCCCACGTGCTGCAACTAAGACCTGATGACGCAGCCAAAAGAAAAAAGAACCTCAGAATCCCAACTCAGTGATTAGAGGGGGCTCCACACGGCTTTTAGATTTTCCTCTTTGGAAGTCCTTAGATATTTTAAGTCCCAGGTTCAGAAATCCTGGCTTTCAGGTCACGTAAGAAATCCTGAAACATTCAATGCCTGTAGAGGTCTTGGGTCTTCTCCAAAGAATTCATTCCACCAGGGAAAGCTGCTTCCCCCTCAGTGTCTAGGGCCTTAGAGGTAGGCAGGGAGGGGGAGTGTGGGCCTCATGGAAAAGGAATAAGAAATGAAAGCACAGGAGCAGCTTCATACCAGTCCGGACTCCTGGGATAAAGTGCTCCCCACTCGGCTTCACATCAGGCCGTTCCCAAGCCATGGCAGCCTCAGCGAGGGCACCACAATGGGTCCCAGTGTGGCTGAATCGGGGGTCCCTCGCCATGAGAAGATGTCATCGAGCTCTTGGGGAGGGTGGAGCTGCTGTGGGCTGCCAAGGCATAATGCACAGGCCCTGTGGGCGGCATAATGTAGTATTTATCTCTCTCACTTTGCAGAGAGGGAACAGGCTGAACAATCCAGACTCTGTCAGCAAGGTCCTCTGGGGAGTTCAGGCCTCGCTAATGAAGATGAATAAGACGGGGGAATCTGCCTCTGCCGCTCAGAGCTAATGTATACATATTCATGGGCAGGGAGGACAGCTCCCAGAATGACCCATCCTCCAGAGAGGCAACAGGGGCAGAGGCATGGCAGTGCGAAGCCGCACTTGGGGTGGGGTGTGTCTTGTGGGGTGGAACACTGCAGGCTGTGAATTAGGGTGCCTCAGGAAATACCCTGAAATGGATGGAATTCCCAAGGCGAAATTTATTCCTTTGCCCGCTGCAAATGTATGAGTCCTGGTCTGAGCTCAGGGACCCCTGAAGAACTTAGTTCTCAGCTGAGTTCCAGAAACAAATCCAACTCTGCTACTTCCTACTGCACATCAGCTAATACCAATCCTCACACCATATCTCTTCTGCCTGGTGTGGCCTCATGGAATTTGCTGGAGGTTCCACGTTAGAGTTCCAGGTACACACGAAGCCTCAGGACACATGTTACAGCAACTCGTCTCATACACATAGACCCTGTCTTCTGAATCTCCATCTATCCGACTCTTCCAGGATGTGCCCTCAACTAAGTTTTTCTGGGCGACAAATCCTTGCCCACCATAGACCTCCAGGGTCCAGGAAGGTGACTTTGGTAGGAGATTATACAGTGTATAGGGAAATCGGGACCAAAAACTTGGGCATCTGGACCATGTTTCTTCAGGTGAGAGCAAATGATGGCCCTGCACCTATGCACACCGTCACTCTGAAGTCAGTGGATTTGTTCTTGACTCACAGATATTTTGATATGTGGAAGGTTTTATTCCCTGTTTCGGCGCACTCAGCCTCTGTCCCCAGGCAGCATAACGGAAAGGATACACACTGAGCCAAATAAATCAAATCCCCTCTCTGCAGCCGGCCTCCTGCAGGTCTCCACGGAGCCACAGGCTAGTCCTTAGCAGCAAGACCAATGTCTGACAGAGCTCAGCGTGCCTTACCTGCCTTTCCGACATGATGTAGAGCTGCTTGTGGTCCTTGGAGAAGGCCATGTCCCGGAGGACGGGGCCGGGGTCCACCACCTGCACCGTCTCGTACTGGAGGGCATTGCCCCGGGGCCCATCTACCCGGATCTGTGGAGAAGAGGAAGAGGAGAGGTGGTGTGAGTTCCGATCCTGCGTGGCCTGCGGTCCAGCTTCCGCCCGGGGCCCCTCCCACAGGCAAGGGGGAGGGGGTGAGCCCTGCCTCCCAGAGGCCAGGCCTGAAGGCTCAGGAGCGGCACAGGCCCACCAGGGGCCTCGCGTTGGGAATGGCAAAGAGAAGGGACGAGGCGGAGACCAAACCAGGCTGCGCCAAGAACCTGGTGTTCTTCTCTCTGGCTCACTATGCCTTAGGCTCGAGTCTTTGAGGCCTTGCTTGTACATCTTTGCAGAAGAGGACGGGCCTTTCTAGTTACTCGGCATGTTACCTTATTGTTAACGTAATAAAAAGGTTCTCTGCAACATCAAAAGTCCTACCTGATATACTGATAGAATAGACGGAGAAGATGAGAGGCAGTACGTTAAACAACTGGCCTGAGCTATCAGATCTGGTGACAGAATGAGAATCCAGTTTGACCCTGGAGTCCATGCTTTTCCTACCACTCCAGTTACACGAGGGACCCTGTTCCTTGATGGCTTTCAGCGGCCTCCAGCCTGCACAATTCCAGAGGCTTTTGCCAGTCATTCCCAATTCTGAAGCTGAAACACTTGCACTTGGCAAATATTTATTTTAAAAATGAAGAAATAAATGAAGTTCAAACTCTTCTTTGCAGATTTCCCATTAAGCTCAGGAAAACAACAACAACAGCAATGAAAACAAACAAACAAACTGGTGAAGGAATTAACAAAAGATATGTTTAGCCCTGAAAATCTAAATGCCTTGGATTCCAGTAGCCCCTCCTCCTTCTGTCCCCACCCCCAAGCCACCAGCTGTCTGCCCTGGCCAGGTCCTTCCTTAATCTGAATGAAATGGGAGCTCATGCAAAACCAATTGGGATTACCACCCAAGTCTGACCAAGAGGTGATGGCCTTGGCCCCCAGCCCAGCCGGGCTTCATCCCCAGCTGTGAATCACCCCTGGAGAAGCAGCACTGGAGAGTGATACTGCACGGCCGGCTGGTCTCCAGACCCTCAAGGCTGCCGGCAGGAGCAAGCGCCCCTCGGGGATGCTAGCAGAATGGAGTCCCACCCAGTGCCCCCGTGGTCTGATCCCTGAGGGAAACTGGATTCAGTGCCTGAGTGATCATCTGGCTCCAACTTCCCTGCTCTTTAGGGTGAGCTGATGTGCTGGATGTGGACAACAGAAGAAACTAGGTGAACTGGGCAGGGACAGAGGGGTGGACCAGGGAGCACCAATGGGGCAAGTTTTCCCAGGCCCAAGGAGGCAGGATGGGGGTATGACCCCCACCCTTGCCCATTCTGCCAGGGCAGGAAATCAGTAATTGAAAAGGTGGTTCCTGGAAATTCCCTGGTGGTGCAGTGGTTGGGACTCAGCACTCTCACTGCCAGGGGGCTCGAGTTTGATCCCTGGTCAGGGAACTGGGATCTTGCAAGCCATGTGGCACAGCCAAAAAAATAATAAAAATAAAATAAAATAAAATAAAATAAAATAAAATACCTTTTAACAAAAAGAAAAGGTAGTTCTCCCCTTCACATCACCCCACCCCAATCCACTACTTGTTTCAGAAAACAGAAAGGAAAGCATCCATTCATCCATCTGCTGAAAGAGTCTCATACAAGACATGAATAAAAGAGTTTATGGTGGATGTGCTGAATGATGGGCAATCACAAAAGTTAGGTACGCTGGACCAGCTGCTGGCTCTTGGGCCACTACATGAATAAGAACAAGAACTGCTAGCGATTGAGTGGCTGCTACACGTCCTACACGATTCTAGGCATTCTACACGTATTTTCCCTCTTATTTAAACCTCATAACTCCATGAAGCCTTAATATTCCACTAAGCCTTATTCCAATAAGCCTTAATAAATCCCATTTACAGGTGAGGCACAGAGAGGTTTAATACCTTGTTCATGGTCACACATTTAGCGATCGGCATGGCCTCAACCCCTGCCAAGGTCCAACCAATTCCAGAGTCCACTCTTCAGTGCACTTACATACTACACCAACACAAGTTGAGCCAGGTCCTACTGGTTCTATAAATCTGCATCTCTTCTAGGAGTGAAAGTAGTTACTGTTAAACAAGCATCACCCTGGGAGTGCTGGAGGAACCATGTCTATCTACTGCAGTCCTTTAGGGA